GAAATGTCAAGGCTATTCCCTCAGGGCTTGCTACCCGGTGAAGAAGAAAGCCTTGACTTCGGTGCCGTTGAAATAGTTTGTCGAAGCTTGCATATCAATTGTTCAAAAAACATGCTTCGGGCTCAGTTCTCCAAGGCCGACCTTGGCAACAAGGGTCGACTCAACTTCTCAGAGTTTCAGAACTTTGTCGCTCGTCTAAAAGAAAGGAAAGATATCAAGGACCTGTTTAAAACATGGGCCGCGAATGCCCAGGAGGGTCTCACTGTCGAGGAATTTCTGGCATTTCTCCGCGACGCTCAGCAAGAAGATGTCGATACTGACCGAGCCTATTGGGTTTCAGTTTTTGACAAATATGTTCGAAAGTCCAAGCCGCGAGCACCAAGCCTTCCAGAGGGTGTGGAACGTCAGGCTTTCCGAATGAGCGTGGAAGCCTTCTCTGCCTTCCTCTCCTCCAACTGGAACGGAGTATACGCATCTCGCCCTCCTCAATCGCCATTTGACCGACCGCTCAATGAGTATTTCATTTCCAGCTCCCATAATACGTACCTGTTGGGCCGTCAAGTTGCTGGCGCTTCCAGCACAGAGGCGTATATCAGCGCTCTGTCACAGGGTTGCCGATGCGTGGAGATTGACTGCTGGGACGGTGCCGATGGCCGCCCGATCGTTTCGCATGGACGGACGATGACAACCAGTGTTCTCTTTGCCGATTGCATTACTGTCATCAACCGATATGCATTTATCGCCTGTGACTTTCCCCTGATCCTCTCGCTCGAGGTTCATTGCAATCCCGAACAGCAGCTGGCAATGGTCAAGATCATGAAAGATACTTTCAAGGAACGACTCGTCCTGGAGCCGCTCTTGACGAATAGCTTTGTTCTCCCATCACCAGAAGAACTGAAGGGCCGGATTCTCGTCAAAGTCAAAACATGTGACGAGATCCTCGAGGGAGTGCGACAAGATACATCGACTTCTTTTGTGAGCACTGGTCGGAAGCGCAGCTCAAGTTCCCCATGGATGCGCCCGACCGTCCCTGAGAGTCCCATGATCATGAACCTTCCTCCTCTCTCCAGTCCTGCGACCATTGGCGAGGAGAGTGTAGGGCCATTCGTTTCACAGGATAGACGATCTTTCACCACCACAAGTATGAGCAGTGCGACAGAAGACAGCGATGGGGCGTTGGTGTCAGTGAAGAGAGAAAGAAGGCGACGTCAGAAGAGCAAGATTACGAAGCCTCTGTCAGACCTTGGGGTTTACACCCGTGGTTACAAATGGCATAGTTTCTCGTCACCCGAGAGTCAGCGGTTCAACCATGTTTACTCCTTCGCGGAGCGGGCTTTTGAGAGCATCTGTCGTGATGCGGAGAATAAGGCGCTGTTGGAAAGACACAATCAAAAATACCTTACGCGAGTCTATCCTTCCGGGTTTCGTTTGCGTTCGTCCAATTTCGATCCGCTCAAGTTCTGGCGACGGGGCGTGCAAATGGCAGCCTTGAATTGGCAAACGTACGACATCGGAATGCAGCTCAACCAAGCCATGTTTGCGGCTGGAACTGATCGCACTGGCTACGTCCTCAAGCCCGAATCACTTCGTCTACCGCCTTATGAGCAAGTGAGCAAGGCTTCCACCGAACGGAAGTTGGTCCGGTTCTCAGTGGAGGTCATTTCCGCTCAACAACTTCCTCGACCACGCACCATGGGACCTGACGACAATATCAACCCATATGTGGAAATTGAGATGTTCAGCGCGGACGATCGCGGCCAGAGTTTTGTTGTCGGAGAAGGAGGCATGAATGCTTCCGCGCGGAATGGCATCTCGGGCATTGGCTATCCGCATCGTCGACGCACAAAGATCGAGCAGAGCAACGGATACAGCCCAACTTTCAATGATCGTTTCAAGCTATCGCTGGAGACCAAGTATCCAGACCTGGTATTCGTTCGCTGGACGGTTTGGAGCTCACTGGATGGGCGCAGTGCTGGTAACAACAACAGTGTTCAATTAGCCACTTTCACTGCCAAACTGAGCAGTCTGTCTCAGGGTTACCGTTACCTCCCACTGTACGATCTGGGCGGTGATCAGTATGTGTTCTCCACCCTATTCTGCAAAATTACCAAGGAGGAGCCGGTGCCGGTTCAACGACTAGGCGCTGAGGAACTTCGCGCTGAGCGTCTGGGAATCCTTCGTCAGATTGGTCAAACAGTGTTCAAGCGCGGTTCATCCGCCGAAAGATCTGAAAAGGGTAGCGAGACACCTGCAAGTCCAGACGACAAGGATACATCTCCGGCGTTGACGCCTACTGTTTCGACGACGTCCACATCATCTCTGTTTCCTTGACACAGTCCTACCAACCCTGCCATACATGCAGGACGTGCTTTTGCATTTTTACTCCTTACCTTCTATCCTCCGGTCCGTCCCCTCAAAATCACCATCATCACCACCACCTCGCATCTGGATGACCAATACTCCTGTGCAAATATTGGAGCGGCGTTCTTCTGATTGAGATTGCATCTGTTCTTTGCGTTGCTCTTCTTGATTTTCCAGGTGCTTTGCTTAGGGAAACATGGCGCATAGCGATCGTTCATCACCACCGGATGGCTTGAGGGAACTATGATCATATACCTACTTGCTTTGTTACTCATGTATTACGTCTGGGACGGTCCCTTACCTTTTCGCGAATTCGGACCGCGCATTCAAGACTCCTGTTGTTTGATGTCGCTATATTTGTTCTCTTTATTTGTGCTACTGGATTATACTGACACTGTTATACCCGTCTGGCGATACCCATTGCTTTTCTTTTTCTTTTGTTTTTTTTACCCAGTTGTGTGCATTGCTGTGGATTGTTCCAACGGATTCACTCATGCCTTGAGCGTTCCTTCGAGCGTCTCCAAGGCTCTCACTTTCAAGACGGCATTACTTGTGGTTTCAATTGTATCTGATGAAACGGTAGCATTTGAGGAGTTACCAGCGAAATGACTTTTGCTTGTCCTAAATTGTCGGAGGATACGTTTATGAGGCGTTGTTTGCGAAGTCAGGGTCCCTCCGTGTCATTCCCACGCTCGCAGGCGAGAACTCATCCTGCAGTCTGCCATACACATTTCCAAGGGCTCTTGACGATACCCTGATGGCGAGACGTATCTATCTTTTAGTTCTTCCACTTGTCTTACTATGAAGATGCGGCTGGGACGCTCCTTTTTCCAAGGCTATGGGCAGCCATTGCAATTTTTTCGAATTTGGTAGATATAAGGAAATCAATGAAAGAGTTCCTCTCTAGCAAGTACATTTCTGACTATTTCCATCTATATCTACCCTTTTAAGATAGAATTTGGAGAGGTGCATCTCATTGAGCGATCGGATAACTTGCCCTTACGGTCATCGGCTGAGCTGCTCTCACCGCCTTACGATCCCAAGACATGGACCGTGTTTTGAGGCCAGCGTATACTTGTCTTCCTCTACAATATTAATTCTATCTAAATCCGTTGATCTCCGGACATTTCTCGATATGGACCCATTCTCGACAGAAGGTGGTGAGTGCCGACCGCTTGACTCCTCCAAAATCATTTCGCAGCCTCCGAAAAGCAACTCAATTGACTCCTATCTCCGCAGAGCTCATCAACATCCACAATGCCTTCCATCAAGGCCAATACCAGAACGTGATCGACTTCGACACCTCGGCCCTCTCACCGGATAACCACCTCACCGCCCGCATCCTGCAGCTCCGCGCCCAGCTCGCCCTAGGCCAGACCGACGAGGTCCTGTCCGCCGTCGACGGCGAAGAAGAGAACCCCGATCTCGCTGCGGTGAAGGCGCTGGCGCAACTCGCGGCGGGCGATGCCGAGTCTGCTCTCCAGCTGACGCAGGAACTGGCGGAGAATTATCCGGAGAATACCTCGGTGCAGGTTCTGGGGGGAACGGTGCTGCAGGCCCAGGGCCGGAGCGAGGAGGCATTGGCGGTTTTGACGAAGCATCAGGGGAATTTGGAGGCGTGAGTTCTATCTATCCTCCTTTTTGGCCTCTGCAATGGGCTAATGGTGCGGTGTGAGGGTAGTGTTGCCTTGATCGTTCAGATCCATCTCCAGCAGAACCGGGTCGATCTTGCGCTCAAGGAGGTGCAGGCTGCTAAGCGCTGGGCGCAGGATTCTCTGCTTGTTAATCTGGCTGAGTCTTGGGCGGGGATGAGAATCGTATGTTTCTTTTCTTTTGCTTCCCCTGGAGGGTTCGACCCCTTGGATGTGGCTAATGCTTATCGGGTTTACTCAGGGTGGTGAGAAATATCAGTCTGCATTTTACGTCTACGAAGAACTTGCCTCTGCGCCTGGTACGTCCGCGCCTTTGTCGATTGTCGGACAGGCTGTCGCGGAGATTCATCTGGGACGGTTGCCCGAGGCTGAAGCTGCGCTGTCGGCTGCGCTGGAGAAATACCCTGACGAGGCGGAGTTGATTGCCAATGCCATTGTGCTGAATGTATTGGCTGGGAAGCCTACCGAGGAATTGGACAGGTATGTTTTACTTTTGAGCATTATGAAGGCTGAGGTCACGCTAACGGTTATTTGTCGTTGCAGTCGTCTTCAACAAGTAAAGCCGTCGCATGCCTTACTTGCCGATATTCAAGAGAAGAGCGAGCTGTTTGATACTGCTGCGTCCAAGTACGCTCCGAGAGTGGCTTCTTAGATTTACAGAGTACTCTAGGTCATCTCTGTTTCTTTCTTTCCTATTTCAGTGTGTGTTGGGTCTCCTTTTATGAATTGGTATGACGGCTAAGCTATTGTGTTACCCAGCGATCCCCTTTTGTTGTTGCTTATTGATTGCTTCAATAAAAATCACATAGACACGTGCTTCTGTTGACGTTGCTCATGTGTGACTATCTCATAGGATATATCACAGACAAATTCCATCATGAGTATCTGGCCATGATATCATAATGTATATACAGTGTAACCTTAGTATATAAGCCGAGGCGGTAGCACCATTACATATATACATCACATTCACATCCACACAAACGTCTACAACCGAGCCCCGAGCCACCTCTTCAACTCCTTTCCCTGCTGACTCTCTGTACTCTTCAACAAAGCAGTATATACCGCGTCGACGTGCGTCTCACCATACCCAACCACGTAAGTGGTATTTGGGAAAACAGACTATCCACATATCAGCAAGCGAGACACAATAATTCCCAAGCGCGAAGGACGAATAAATACCTTGAACCTCTCCACAAAGTCATCAATCGCCGAGAACAAGATCTCATGCTGACCCGCCAGGATCAGGACCTGGTCGGTCTTTGCATCCGCCCACCACTCCACAGGCGCGAGCGCCGGCTCGCTCCAGGCATCGCTTTTCCCGCTAGCGAGATACGCACTCGACCATCTCTTCAGCGCGTCTGTGGGGATCACGTCCCTGTACCTGTTCGCGTCCATCGAGGCCCCGTCTGTGCGGAAGCTGACCCACGGCGCGAACCCGAACACGCCGGCGAGGTTGGTCGAGAGTGCGACGGGCTGGATMTCGGGGTGTGGGTGGGAGAGGTGCAGCACGACTGCGAAGGCAAGGTTCCCGCCTGCCGAGTCGCCGCCGACGATGACGTTGGCCGGCGAGCGGTTTGTCTCTGTGAGGATGTAGCGGAGGGCTTCGACGGCCTGGCGCAGTTGGGCGGGGTAGGTGGCATGCGGGGTGAGGGTGTACGCGAGGAAGAAGATGGCGACGTCGTGGCCGTTTGCGTTGAGGTCGGCTACGATGCGCGAGCAAAGGTCGAAGTGGGCAGGTGGGCTGCCGACGGCGAATCCGCCGCCTGGTTGCTGTCAGCCATGTTGTACCATTAACGCTGACGTGACAGAAGCAGTGGGGACTGACCGTGATAATAGATGACCACTTTCTTTGCGTTGGGATTCCCGATCCAGTGGCCCCGGGCGCCGTGCTTGAGCGTCACGGTCTGTGCCTGCAGACCCTGTTTGGTCATGAACTGCTCATATGCTTTGCTCGTTGAGGGGGCAATTGACCTGTTTCCGAACGTCAGCGATCGTACTCACGGACCGAGCGGCGGATGTTGATCCACGTACTGCATTTGCCGTATCGAGAACCTCATCACCATCTTCCTCACAATCGCATGACCGACATGGACACCATACTCCTTTGCACCGGTGCTGCCTCGAAAGATGCCAGTGACCGCGCTGTAGAGCGCAGTCGCCAGGACGGAGAGGTAGCCGGGAATGAGGTCAGCTCTCTCCAGCAGTGTGAGACGAACATTATCCGGGTGGTCCGCCATCTTCAATGGTCGGTGACTATCTCACAGACAACCTGAGACGGCACGGAAGAAAGATGGATGCTGTTCGACGGTTGGTTCTAAATGCCGGGGGGCTGAGCTATCCCAAGGTTTGGATAAGCGCTCTTCCCCGCACTCCATAGCGCCTCCCCCGCCGGTCCGGGGGCTCAAGATAATTTGCACCATTCTATCATTTCAAGATTCAGAGACTCATCCTGGCGTGTCTGGGCTCTTGCGACGTGGTCATGATGTTGGAGGATGCCTAAACCTCGGCTATTCCGTCGGCAGCAGATGTTGTCGAAGCGGGGATCTTCCCATTTGGGAATCCCCAACTAAAAAGGCCTCAAGCGAAAGCTTAACATGAGTTGCTGTGATGGAAGGATCGCAAGGTTCATTGAATGAAATAAATGAAAAGATATTTGAGTTAGCAACTGACGTCTAGTTTCCATTTACCATGTCCTCCTTCCCGGTCAAGTCACAGAACGCTGTAAACGTAGTAAAGGTATCTTCTCCCGTGTTCTCAATGATACATTCTGCATTGGCTCCAACAAAGAACACATAGCCCTCCTTGACCTCCTCTGTCTTGGGACCAACTGTTATCTTACCCGCTCCGGCGGTGCAAATTACAATGCTCGGACCCGAAATTCCATCGAATGTCACCTTGGCACCTTGCCGCTTGAGATCTGTCTTGGCCACACTGAACTCCTCAATGGGGGGATCGTACAGGATGCAGGAGGAGGCGCTAGAGTAAGCAGGGGCATTGAGAACCGCATAGGGATAGTCGGTCGGCTCAAGCTTCTGCTCAGCGATGGGCGCGTAGGAATATGTCAGCATGTCAACCAGCGTATCCACGTCCTTGAACTTGGGTGTGAAGCCTGCGCGCACAACGTTGTCCGACGAGGCCATGCACTCAATGATGTCACCGGAGATGTATGCATGGATGTCATCAGCCTTGAGGAACATAGCCTCACCCGGTTCCAGCTTGACAAAGTTGAGGAAGAAGAACACGAAGGAGCCGATGTCGTTGGGGAACTGTCCATTGAGGCGCACCGTGATGGCGGCCAGTTCCGCAGAATTAGTGGGGTTGGTTTCCGGTGTGCTGGATGACGTCGCAAAGGTCTCCGGCGAGTTCTGGGCCATCGCGACAAGTTCCTTTGTTGCGGCCTCGATACTTTCAGGAGAGGACCTCATCAGAGAGGTGAAGAGGGTGCGGAGAGCCTGCTTGTTTTTCTCGGTCACCGCGGGGTCCTCCGATTCTTCCGAACCCTTGACTGTGTTCTCGAACTCGCTGGCGGCCTGCTCCCCTACCAATTGACGAAGAGGCGCGACCACTTTGAGGAAGTGGGTGATTTCAGCCAGAGGACGAAAGCCGCAAAGGCCTTCAAAGGGGGTGATGGCGATGGTCATCTCGGGTTTGTGGTTGTCATCTGAGAAGAGTCAATATACTGCAGTGAATGCAATTTCGAAGTAGACAACAAAAGCCTACATAAAGGCTGTTTACTGACCTGGATAGTTGCGAGGATCTCTGGCATGAAGCTTTTCCGCCAGCTTTTTGTTCGGATGGGCCTGGATGCTGAGCGCCTTTCTGATCGACAGCACCTTGAACAGGAAGGGAAGCTTTCCACCATATCGTTCGCTGACCTCTTGAGATATCAACGCCTGGTTGTCCTGAACCATATCCAGCAAGGTGCGCTGAGTCTCGAGATCTTTCGAAGGGAGTGAGGGGTGTGTTCCCATCCACAACTACGTCATCGGGGTCAGCGTTTCGATCTTCGTCGGTAGCCATGTCGAAGAAAGAAAATACCTCAGCGTAAGGCTTGTCTGACTGTATTGAGAAATCGGGAGCTGCTGTAGTTGCTGCATACTTGGCAGCAGCCGACTCATGGCCGACCTTGCCTATGAGAGGATATCTCAGTGTCTGCTTAGTGTAGAACAACTATATGGATCTTACCCCAATCATAGCTATTGACACCTTCCGAAACACATTTCCGTTAGCTTTCCCATGCATACTGGAGTAGTCACAAATGTCAATGACAAAAAGCCTACCGCATTGGAGTCGAAGTAGTGGTACTGGAGGCATTCTTGCTGGTGAGGGGCAATTCTCGCACTCAGAGGCCTGAGTAAACACAATATGGAGCAGTGAATCTCGCGAGCACCACTCAACTAGCGCTGCGAAAAATCTTTCTGTAATTCACTGAGCAGCAAACAGTCAATCTTCTAAAAAGCACTCTGGATCACTCCTTTTGTGAGACTTCCTTTCTTTCTCTCTACCCCTCCAGATGCTTGTTTCTATGCTACCTTACTGGACACGGACTTGATCCAGCCCGATTTGGCTGACCGCATCCGACATGGCACCCGCCAATCAGCGACTTCCCCAGTTGGCCACTTCCTCCGCCCCCTCGTCTTCGGCCAAACGCGATGTGATCGGATCCGCCAAGCAGTCCCCAGGCAAAGCGCTTGACGAGAGTCAGAGCAGCACTACTACTATTAGCCGCCGCTCCGGGGTATCTGTGGGTGTCAGTGTATCTTCTGATCAGGGAAACGGCTTTGAGCCGAAGCTAAGCCAGCAAAATTCCACTGCTGAATCTCGGCCCTTAGATTCATCCTCCAACAGCCCCCCAACTGGCCGTCCGCATAATCAAAGGCACGGCGCGGCTCGGGGAACACGCAGCGCGCGCCAGGAGATCGTCTCCGCCTTTGAGTGGGAGGCGTTGAAGCTTGAACAGCGCAAGAAGTCGGGACTTGTTGCGCCTTCCGAGAGCAGTAAAGAGCCGTTGCTGACTCTTGAGCTGCCCGAGTCCCCGTTCCACGCGATGTCGCGGAATCGGCCTAGAGGTCCTCCTGTGCCTAGAGACAATGGTCTCGCGGCGAATGAGGAGACTGATATGTGGAACAAGATTCTACAGGACCTACGCAAGGCCAAAGAGAAAAATGACAAACAGAAAGCTGTGGCTGAAGAGATCGCTGCATTGAACGAACAGATTGGTAGAGACGGTGGAAGTAAGTTGATTTCTTCGCCTTTTTTACGATTATCCTAGTCGGATTACAGTATTGTGGTCTTTTGCTTTATCCCTTTTGCATCGGTGTCTAGGACACGGTCAACTGTTCGATGGACAGCCCGCTTCTACTCTGCCCATCAGCCCCTAGACAAGAGTATACTCTAGTTTATTAAGATGGCTACGGGCCTTCGTCCTCGCGACAACCCCTGTGATACCGATTGTTCTGACAATTATCTCATGTGCTCACGGTTTGACTGAACACTGCCACTAACTTTGGAACAGGGCCCACTCTCAGCGAGCATAATCAGCTGGACAGTCTATATCGCCAAATGTCCAAGCTATGCGAGGAAGAGAGAGCTATTCTTCAAGACGAACCCAGTGACGTGATCAAGAACCTGGGGTTATTGACAGCGCTTCGTCAAGCGTCCGAAGCGGAAGCTCCATTCAACCGCGCCGCTTCTCTGGTCAAGTCACGAAAGAAGAGAAGTGATGTGGATGGATCAGCGACAGACTCGCCCGGTCCCTCTGGCCCGCCTGTATCGGACAAAATTGGCCGCATCAAAGGCGTCCAACGTAGTACCAGCGCTTCCAGCCCCCATACTCGTGACGGCCGCGAGATTCGTGACAGTGTCATGGTCAAAATTGAAGAGACGGCGGAAAGCATCAGAGGCACAATTGCGGAGCGCAATGGGCAGCTGGTCATTGGTGCTGAAGTGGTTTTCAAACATAACAAGAACAAACAAGGCGTTGAAGGCGAGGGGATCCAGTGTATCATCAAGGGAATCTCCGGTGACGGCCCTAAGAAGAGGTATGCCACCATCGCCCGCCCTTTCTGATCGCAAGGAAATTGACCTGTTTACCTCTAGATACGACGTCCAAGACCCCGAACCAAATGAGAATGGCGAACAAGGCGCTGTCTACAAGACCACAGCTGCATCTCTGATTCCTATTCCGCAAGTTGGATCCACACTGCCAGTTTTTTCTGCAGGGAAGCAAGTTCTAGCACGATACCCTGACACGACTACATTCTACCGTGCTGAAGTGATGGGCACGAAAAAGGACACCTACCGCCTCAAATTCGAGGGCGAGGAAGATGACAAGGAAATGGAGGTCGATCGACGATTTGTCCTAGACATCCCAGGAAAATGAATAAAGGTGGACTGCGAATTATGGATGACTCCCATTTGATGATACCCTTGAGCAAAACTGTTCTTAAATTGCGGGAAGAAGAGGCCGTTAAGGAGTCTGGCTTGCTTGATCACATGGGATTGAAATCTGGTGTTAAGGCTGGGATATTTTAGTTTTTGTCTCTTGTGCTTCGATATCATCAGATCGACAATAATGATAACTATGGATTGCAGCTCCATCTATTTGGTTGGGCCAATTTCGTCTCGTAGAAGATGCTAGACTGCACTGAAGACTTTGTATCTAGACATGATTTCTGCGGATCACGTCAGGCCTGACAAATGACAGGTGGGCCTTCATGTAATCGCACCATGAGTCAGCGCCTCTTCTCCCCCGCCGACTGCAGCTGCGGATGTCCCGAGGAGCCGAGCATCGAATCCGTATCCCAAGAGCGACCGAAATATGATTACAATCGTCTTCTTTTCCTTGCAGAGAATTGTGGTGAAGTGATCAATCGTGCTTTTTCTTCATATATTATAATCTGTAATGAGCATCATTTGTTGAGATACCCTTCTCTAAAATTGTACTTTCGTCCCTCCTCCTCTACCCCAAATCCGTCATCGCAATGTCGAATTTACCGTCCCATGCCTCTCCGTCTTTCGGGGCGCAATCGCCTACCACGCCGCAGCCCACCGACGAGCTTTCTCTCAACTCGAACACCACATCAGCGCCTGCGTTACCCTCCAGATTAGATGAACTCCGAGATGAGACTTCCAGTCAGATCAGCAGCATCGACACTGACCGCGGGGACATGACCCCCGCGGTTCCCGCATCATTACTCTCCCCCTCCTTCACTCCTCCAGCAACCCCCGGGGGCTCGATCAATACTGCAGAGCTGCTCCGACAGGCCCAATTAGCCGGCACACGGCAAGGGCCAACACATACGAAGCCCCCAAGGCTGCTTTCTCGCCTTCCCAATGTCGAGTGTATCGTCCGCGCTCGGATACCCACGACAACTGGCGCGGAGATGTTTCTCCACCTGTATCACAATGATTTGGACAACAAAGAGCATCTGGCGATTGTGTTTGGGAATACAATTCGGAGCAGAAGCTTGGACACGGTCCGACCGGGAGAGACGGAGATGGATCGCATGATTCGCGGTGCGTATATAGGGAAACTCCGTCCGGGCCGTGTGAGCAGTTGGTATGATGAGGAGAAAGCTGGAGAAGCTGCCAGCCCGGAAGCTGGCGGCGCTGTATCCAGTCCGCACACACCGCCTCAGAGTAGCCTCAAGGAAGCGCCTCTTGTGAGAATCCATTCGGAGTGCTACACTGGTGAGACGGCTTGGTCTGCACGCTGCGACTGTGGCGAGCAGCTCGACGAGGCAGCTCGACTCATGTCGCTGCCCACGGAGACATTGACAGAGGCTGCGTCACAGCAGGACGTGGCGGAGCCGTCAAATGCTGCTGGGGGCGTGATTGTGTACCTGCGCCAAGAAGGACGAGGCATTGGTCTTGGCGAGAAATTGAAAGCGTACAATCTTCAGGATCTGGGATCTGACACGGTGGAAGCCAATCTCCTGCTCCGCCACCCTGCGGATGCAAGAAGTTACGGACTAGCTACGGCGATCCTGGTGGATCTCGGTCTAGGGGTCGATTCGAATCCGCACGGCATCAGGCTACTTACGAACAATCCGGACAAGATTCGGGCGGTTGAGGGACCTAACCGAGAAGTGGTAGTGAAGGAGCGGGTGCCGATGGTGCCATTGGCATGGAGATCGGGTGGAAAGATGGGGATCAAGAGTTCAGAGGTCGAAGGTTATCTAAGAACGAAGGTATGTCGACAATCAATCTCTTGCAAACAATCTATCTCTTGCAAAACAGCTGCTTTCTCATTATCGAACAATGGCTCACTCTCCCAGATATCGAAAATGGGCCATTTGCTCCAATGATCCCTTTCCGTTGTAACCCGAGTACGCTTTCCTGCTTTTGGATTTAGACAAATCGACACGCTGTATGGCTTGTAAATCATGTGACGGTTCTGCAGCGCAAACTTTCTGCTTTACATTTTTCCTTTTCGTTTCGTGACTTTTGTATGGTACATAAACTGGTGTATTAGCGCACTTGTACATGGTGTTCTCGACATGGACCATCTGGCCACGATTGGTCGACATAATCCCTTTCTAATCTCTGGTTCGCATACTCTAAATGCAGCTTAGCTTTAGTCTGGACTAGTTGTACCGCTGCTACCGCAGTGGATATCTGACTGTTTTCCGTGTCCAGTTAGTCCAATCTCCGGTTGTCGGCGAGGCATCGGGAGGATTGAGTTGTTTGAGTTAATTGAGTCAATGGTACGGCGTAGAGTGGCGACTAAAAATTCTGGATGCCTAGAATCCTGTGAATTAGAAAACCCAGAAACCCCGGCCTATCAAGCGGCAGTGCCTCTATTTCAGGAGGGTTGAAGGAGCCTTGGCTGCGATCCAGCCACGATAATGCGATCGAATGGGACTCGTGCGGTGGATAGATGGCTTATGTAGTGGTCAATAATAGGTAGTTGGAAGATGCATGAGACTAGACCTTCAGAGTCAGATAGAAAGACCCTGATCACCACAGCTTAACAAGAAGAAATGACAGGATCGCAGGATCACAGCATCGCCAGGTGAAGAGGAATAATAGCCCAAGGCCGAGCCAGAACCCCCCATGTCCCTAGAGAGGCCCAAAGCTTCAAAAGCCCAAGACCCAAGGGAGCCACGGCGACGGAAGGTTTGGGGCGGAACTCCACTTTGACCCCCCAAGCCGTTGTCGTTCGACTCGTTCCCTTGTCGTAGGCTCTGAAGGAATGGCTCGAATCGCGGACGTTTGTGGAAAATATGCAGCCCGCATGTAAAACAACACCAGCCTCAACAGCAGCAGCAGCAGTAGCAGCAGCAGCAGCAGCTACGCCGAAGGAAGACGATCCTGACTGAGAGACAAAATTTATATCTACCCCGCCCAATTCTATCTGTCGTCCGTTCAAATGTCGAGTCTTTCGTATTTCCGCTGACTCAATCCCCGTCTCGTGGATATTATTACCGTCCACATCCACTTGGCACTCTGCATCATCCAATATTTTTCCCCCCTCTGACGCTTTGAATGGCCGTTGGCGTTAGCTAGACGCGCCAGTGAGGGCCATGGCCACCCGCCTGCCTCCTTTAAATGATGTGGCGCCATCGTCGGCCCTGGAGTCATCGTCATCCGTGAGCACCACTCCAGCTCCAGCTCCAGCTCCAGCGTCAGCCACAGTGTCAGTATCAGCAACAAAATCAATACCACTCACCTCGAACCCGTCCTCAACAATACTCTGCACTCCGAATCAAGATCCCGAGTGCGTCAAGCAGGAAGCCTCCCCTACCCCTTCCGGTTTCACCTCCGCCGACGGCGAGACACCCGTGGCGGACAACCATGGCGGGTCCACGACGGCCCCGGGCCGGAAACGCAAGCTCACCAGTACCTCGTCGCGCGGCGTGGCCAATCTGACCCCCGAGCAATTGGCCAAAAAGCGAGCGAATGATCGGCAGGCCCAGCGGGCGATCCGGGAGCGGACGAAATCGCACATTGAGTCGCTTGAGCAGCGGGTGCGCGAGCTCTCGTCTCAGAAACCGTTCCTTGATCTCCAGGCGGCGCTGAAGCGGAATGAAGCGATTCAGGCGGAGAACCGGGACTTGAAGCACGGGCTTAAGGCGGTGATGGATATCATACAGCCGCTGGTTGCGAAGCAGGACCCAAGTGAGTGTTCTTTGCTATTGTCATGAATGCTCGCCTGGACTATCTCTGACACAATGGACAACAGATCTGCCTCCCCTTCCTCCCCGGCACGCAGCGGCACCTCCTCCGTCTTGTCAACCTCTGAACACTCCCTTCAATCCGCTGCGGTACACCGGGACTCACCATTTCACCTCGACCGGCCAAAGATACGAGTCCTCATATACGGCTTCAACTTCTGGCGCAGAAACGCCGACGTCGACACACTCGGCACCTACGATGAGTGCGCATCGACAGGATAGCAGCAACGGACTGGCCTCGTTCCGGATCGCGTTTGACTGTCAGCGTCATAACCTCTCCCATGGATTGGATTTTGGTACTGACGAGAGACTGGGTTTCAATTTCCTGCTCGATGCCACTCAGCAAGTTCCTAGAGTGGAAGGGTTCCGTAGCTCAACGGAGAGCTTCAGGCCGTCTCAGGCAGATCCACCTCCAGTCTACACACCTTCGCCTAGCGGGCCTGCGCCGGAGCAACCCTTGCCCGCGTACAGGACTCCGATCCGAAACATAGCCCCGACATGCACACTGGACGCCATCCTGTTGGATTTTCTTCACCACCGTCAGCGCAAAGCGGCGGAGGGAGTTCCCACACAGAAGCTCGTGGGGCCCCCTTATCCCAGTGTCTCGTCGCTGCTGAACCCCGAAAAGAGCGTTTACTCGCATCCACTGTCAAAGGTGTTTGTCGATATCCTTCGCACATTCCCAGATATTTCATCCTTGCCCGAGCAAGTGGCCGTCTTATATCTCATGTTTCTCCTCATGCGGTGGCAGATCTACCCGACGCGAGAGAACTATGAGCGGCTGCCAGACTGGCTCACACCTCGGGCCTCCCAACTTCTCACACCTCATCCGGCTTGGGTTGACTACATTCCGTGGCCGCGGATGCGCGATCGGCTGGTCGGCTCATATCAGGATTATCCGTTTGAGCAGTGGTTCATCCCATTCACTCGGACCCTGTCCGTTAACTGGCCGTATGAGGCGACGGACTGCCTGCTGTCCACCAGCGATCATGAGGATCTCATCATTAATCCAGTCTTTGAGCGACACTTCAGAAATCTAAATAATTGGTCGCTCGGCCCATCTTTTGCCGAAGCGTTTCCGCAGATGGCCGGAACCGCGAGGATCAAATCTTAATATACGTTATGTTTCTTTGGTTCAGCGTCTCATCCGCATGTTACCTCTATTTCTTTTGTGATGCACCTCTCTTTCTCCTCTTCTCTTGTT